AGATACAAGGCAATGGGCTAGTAAGTCTATAAATCTAGTAGTTCAGCAGAGTAATCTATGAGCTCAGAAAATATTTCCTGGACAATGGAATACTTTCCCTTCATAACCCTTAAAAACCCACTACCCTATAGTCAGGACTAGAGTGTCCTTATTGTCACTAGCCCACAGCAAAGACTAGTGTTGGTGTCAAGCACTGGATAACCTGAAATACTCTCCTATATCTAATATCTGAGGCTAGAGAACTGGCAATCAAAAGTATTTTTTCATGTTGGATTATTGATAGGTGATAAGATGTGATGTGTTGAGGTCTCTTATGACTTCATTTTCAATGGGTTCAATAAATTTATCTTTATCTTAAACAGCCTTGAAAGCATTTTTCCATTCAAAAATTATCTTGCTATTTTTGCTGAATTATATTTGAACTTGTAGTTTTTGAATGAAACAAACTTATTTTTTTGAATCTTTACTGTCATTGCAGTGTGCACAAAAGAGTTTTGAATGAAGATGGTTTCAATCGTAAATCATGGACAGAAAATTCCTACATTTTTTGTGAAATTAACTTATCTACAGGACTCAAAATAACAGGCAATATGCAATCCCAACATTCTGAGTGCGAGGAAAAGAAAAAAAATCATGTACGATTTTCAGAATAAAATGTCAACAGAAATTTTACATTCAAAATTTACTTGTCCTGCACAAACATTTGTGTAATTTTGAGCCCTGCATGTTACCAGTCCTCTAGCCAAAAACATTTTTCCTTTTTCTGCTAGTTTTTCTTGTCACATCTTAACTAATGCTAGTTTTTTACTCCTAGGCCTAGGGAAAACCCTGAAATTCTTTTAAATTCATCTTCCAACTTTTTGAAATTCTACAAAATTCTTCTTTGAAATGGTTGTCTTTTTGGTTGTGTTTGCTTTAAGATGTTTACACAAGGTATACTATTCTCCTAGGCCTAGGAAGTAAAATGTTTTGGAATTCTTTTTTTTTTTTTTGTTATTTCTGAAAAATGCTAGATTAACTCATTTTTCTTTATATTCCTGGAAGATTTCAATCTCTAAACCATGTTACTCGTATTGATATCCTTGGTGAATGATTCCTGTCATCAGTACTGATTGACTTGCCCTTGATGGTGCTGCATCATCTTACAAGGCTTTGCAGCTTGGTATAACTGAATATGACAGATTTGGTGAAGCTAGAAAAGAAAAACAAAAAGAAATTGTCAATATTCTGTTGCCTGTTTCCATTGATGCACATCAGATAGGATCAAATGGCAAAAGTCATATGCTTGAATGGGTGTAAGCATGGGAGCCCTATCAGTCAGAATGCTCTCCTCTCACCAAGGCAGTGCAGGTTTGATTCCTGGACTTGGTGTTGCTTACTGGTATGTATTGAGTAGAATTGCTTATTGTTTCTCTCCTGTGATTCAAGGGTTTTTCTCTGGGTGTTATTTATTTACCACTTATTGACTGAGACCATAAAACACACTGCTTTCTGGAGGTTCTAGTGAATGTGTAGTTCCAAAAATTATCCTTCCTCCCTCCAAGCAGGTTTTTTTATAGGCCTTCCATTCCCTAGAAATTCCAAGTTTTTCCATTACATTTTTGAAAAATTTTGTCCTTTAATCGACCCTTCTCCCCTCAGAAATTCGAAATTGCTTAGTGGGGGAGGGGGGATGGATGGTTTTTGGAACATCACAATAAGTAGTGTTTTGTTATATACCAAGTGCCAAAGAATGCAAAGCAGCTATATATTGTTGCCAATTGTGCAATTGTGAGCCATTGTGGGGAAACATTGAAACTTGTTCACATGATACCCTCTCACCCAATCAGAGTACAAGAGAAATGGACTTTTACAGTTGGTACACCTACTTGCAAGAACGTCATACGAAAATAGAGCATTAATGATTTAGTGGGATAGGAAGATCACTGAAGCTGAACTTTTTCTTTAATGTATTCCTTTCTCGCTAAATTACTAATGTTCTATTCTTGTATGACAACCTTCTTGCAAGTAGGTGTATATAACAATATTATTTATTGACTGCTAGTCTTACATTATATCTTACATATTCCATCAAGTATGTGAGAGACATAGTGATATCAATCATGATATATCCAATTGCTAAACTTACTTGTCTGTCATCTATCTGATGGCCAGAACTTGACAGCATCATCACCATGACAACATGATCCTTGGTTGAGAGGCTGGCAAGCTGTTGAAAAAATCAGAGATGTGTTGAGAAACCTGAGTGTTTATTACGCTAAGTTAATTAATTTCTCTAGCATGCAAATTTCAGAGTATTAGAGAAAGACATTTTGCAGGTTGTTAGTGATCATACAACATGAGATTGACCTTTGTGAGAATTTGATGTACTTGGATATACCTTTATCTCTCTGATAAAGTCATCCTCATTAGTATTATTTATGTATAAAGACACATGGCATTATATAACAACTCCTTGAATACTAATGAAAAGGACTTTATTGAGTGGAGAGATCCAAGCACATAATATGTGTGGTCACTAAAACACTATTTCAACACAGCCAGTATGCAGTGTTCTACTTTGCCAAAAGGGCTCCTTAAAGTACAGTGTGACTACTATAAATGGGACCACCTAGACAGCAAGAACCAATCAAATTGTAGGAAGAAAACAATACATTCCAACTTTGGGTAGTTGAGCCAATCAGAAAGCAGCTGTAAACAATAGAGAAAATGATGATGATGATCTAGTTCAGTCTGGGTTTCTGATTGGCTTGAATACCAAAGGTTGGAATGCATTGTTTTTATTGAAGATTTTAAATTGGTTCTCTTGTCTTACTGGTGTAATTGACCCCTGTTACAGTAGTTGCACTGTAATGCTAAAGCAATACTGAAATAGGCAGTTTGCATGATGGCATCATTTTACTACTACTACTACCAAAATGCTAAAGCATGACTTTTGGCTGGTATTATTTATATGAATACAAAAGAAAAAACTAATTTGGATGCATTTTTATATTGTAACATAGCTAATAGTTTAACTTACTTGTCTGTCATACATCTGCTGGCAATAGCTTGATGCAATGTAGTATCATCACAATCTAATGATGACACATACCAATACTCGTCATCAAGCTGTTGAAAAAGAAAAAGAGATCTGTGTTTAGAAACCTCAATCAATCCTAGATATTTGTTGAAATGATTATATTACTAGCAGATACTAGTTAGGACTGCACTCCTTCACTCCTGTCAGTATACAGTACTGGTCAGCAGTAGACCATGTTGTACAGTGGGAACCCTGTGGTTGCGTGACATCTACCATGTTGGTTAGCCCATAGAGTGCCACAACAAAGCATAGTATAACTAACTTATGTATGAATTTGTTCTGTAGAGTAATATACATACCTGATGATTAGTAATAAACTGCTGCTTGGAATATGAACAACATTTTTGTGGCAACAAGGTGAGTCCATATTGTTATGAAGGTCACAGGGTCATCAACAGGTTGATTTGCAGTTCTATACTCATAGACAACATTGTATCAAGTGTTTTTGCTTCTTGTTTTAGTGCAGTATACCCATCATTACCAGATTAATACTGAAGTATTCCATTATATATTGGTTAGAGTCAAGATGCAGTATGGTAATGAGGTTCAGATGTCAGGTTTCCATCTTGTTACAGATCACTGGACAGCCTTATGGAGTGTTTCACGTGTAAGTTATACTTTTAAGACTGCAATACAAAGAAAGATAAATATTTAGGACATTAATATTTAGGATTTTCATGGTTCTAACGATTTTCATGGTTCTAAGTTCGTGTAACGATGATGACCAAAGTTTCAAAATATGGAAAAAATGAAAATATACTCAAATTAGGCTTACAAACTGTTTGAAAACTTTCTAAAATTAAATATTTGTGGCAAATTTAATTGTATTTTGCAAGAAAAAGTGAAATTCTTAGAGTTCAAAGCCAACACGTGTCATGGCGGTCAATCGAACTTTCGAAATCTACAAACTGGTTAAAAATACGGAAAAACGCCAGAATAACGCAGAAAAACAGAATAATTCTTACCTTTCATAGTTCTCGTGTCCTTATCTCTCTGTTAGATGGAGCACGAGCTAATAAAATTTTTTTGTTCTTGTWAAAACTTCTCTTTATATTTCCACAGATTGACACACGTCGAACCGCGAAGGAGGCAAGATTTGAAATGAACTAAAGTCACTCAAGGGCCTGGAACTAGCATTTTACACAGGAATCCCACGAAAATCTTTATTTTTTGTCGAAAAATAGACGGTTTTCGAGTAATATTTTTTGCCCAAAACGTGAAACATGACCAGAAAAGGCTATATTCGTACCCTACGGAGGATAAAAACCCGAAAAAACGCTTATTTTAGGCAAAAAACACTATTATGTTAATTAGTCACGTGACCAGTCACGTGACCCTTAATTTTGTGTTTTTTAAGGCGTGAGTTTTAAATTTTCATAACAAAAAAAAAATCGTGGGTTTGAAATAATCCTTTCATTTGAATTCATTAGATCACGCAGTTGATAATAAAAGAACATCGAACCTTTATTGTGTGGTTTTTATTGTCTGACCCATAAAAATAAAAAATAAAAGAAATAAAACGACAGCTGAAAAATACCCTTTAATGTGTAGACTCCACCCGACCAAGGATAAAATACACCCAGAGACAAAGAGGAACAAACAAAGATTTCAAGACGCATGAAGCGCCAATATTTTTTTATTACACTTCAAGTTATTTATCAACTTTATTGATTTATGCGGCTTCGCCAGTTCGCGCGCCTGTTTCGATTTCAGTTTAAGGTACTTTCACACGTTGAAACTTTTAACTTCTTGCTCACACTATACTCGTGCCGGCAAACGAAACTTCGCGAGGAAATTTTGAAGGAAATTGTGTCGTGTTCCACTCCCGTGAATAATCTTGTCTTGCAACTGAACTCAAGTTTTAGCCAATAGTTTCAGCGCGCAAAACAGGAGCTTTACTTCTTGAAGCAAAACAGCACAGACAAACCGTTTGATACTAGTAAATTATGCGCATTAATTTGTTCTCCTTTATTTCAGTTTGAATAAGTGTTTTCAAGTTTAGAATAAAACAATTTCCCGAGGGAATAAAACGTGACTTTACAACTCCCAAAGTAATCAAATACATGACGTCATATTTGGGTGAATACAGTAGAAACCTGTGGAAAGTTTTCTTCTGTTTTGAAAAAAAAGGGCCACGAGCGTTGTGTTTTAGTCACGTCGTTCCCTCGAGCATCATTTATTTCTTTCATACAATTAACATTCTTCATCATGATACGATAAGAAGCAAGCCTTAAAGAATCTAGCACTTTATGAACAAGTGCCTTWATTGTTTATTGGTTAATCCCTTAAGAATTACTTCTTTGTTTCTCTGTGACGGTCACGGTGTTGATGGGTCATTGTCCAGTCACTCTCACGATTATCCTAAAAACGAGCAGAACAGGAAAATACAAAAGAAATCACAGCTTTTCTGSTGTGGTATTTCTTTTGTTTTGTCCTGTAAGACTCGCATTCAATATAATGTCGAAAGCCGTGGTCCAGAGGTCTGGGGTTGGGAGGGGGCGTATAGTGACGACTGAGATTTTGTATTTTTTTAAAAGTATTTTAATAAGACTCACTTAATTTTGCTTTTTTTACAGTTAACATTTATATATAGTTCAAACTCTTTTCTTCTCCTTTCGCTCTGTTTTATCATTTACATTTTAATACTATTCATCGTGTCTTTTTTGACACATATTCTTAATTTTCTTTTCTTTTCATTCCTTTTCTCTATTGTTCACATTTTTTCTGTGATTTTCTTTCTACTTGTTTCTTCTATTTCCTATTTTCCTTTTTGCTTTTCCTATTTATTTATTTTATCTCGTTTCTCCTTCCTCTCTCATTACATTTTTATTTTATTTCTTCTTTTATTCTGTCATTTATCTTGCTGTCGACCTGCAGAAATCAATGTAACAGTGCAACAAAATTTAAACTCTCTTTATCAGGAATACATGGTTAATATATTTGATAATCTTTGTCCAGGGTGCACGTCTGAGAGTCTGCTTACATGAAGAGAACAGAGAAAAGAACAAAGAACAGATAGAAGAGGACTTAGAACAGAGAATGAAAGGAGAAAAGAGGACTGAGAACAAAAAATAGAATAGAGAGAGAGAGGGCAGGGCAGGGCAGGACAGGACAGGATAAGAGTGTTTGCACATTGTTTAACATGTTTCCTCCTACCTTTTAGTGGCAGCATAGGCATTTATACATAATACCATATGGTAGCGTAAATGGTTGTTTCTTTCTTTCTGTTCTTCAAGTGGGTTTCTTCCCAATATCCATACTAATCAAACCGTTCTTTTGACTCTGCAGTAGTGGTGTCTCTGTCATTAAAAACATCAAAGCATCAGTTTATTCATCCACCCATCCATCACTCAGTCTATCCCTCCCTCCCTCCCTCCCTCTCTCCCTCCATCCAGCCATCCATCCATCTTTCCCAATGCCTACTATGCTGTCCCACACATAGAAAAGTAATTTAAAATCTCTATAAATATTTACATGCTTACTTGCCAGACTTGTTGTTCTGTTGCCACATTGAACCGATGACTTCATAACACAGCTCATTGCAGTCATCTCTTAAGTTATTCACTCATGTCTCTGTCATTGAAAACACAAAGAAGAAAAAATAATATTTTCTACCTTATTTATCCATTAATCTATTATCCATTTAACCATCCTCCCAACCACTTCATCAGTTTATTCATCCACCCATCCATCGATCCCTCACTCCCTCCATCCCTCCATGCATGCATGCATCCAACTATCCATCCATCCATCCATCCATACCTTCTCCCCCAAAGTCTACTATACTGTCTCAAAACACTTTGCAGAAACATAATTAAAAATCTCTATAAATATGTACAGCTCACCACAGTTAGCTACTGGGTGATTTACCTGTATCTTCATTCAAATATGCTCAATATGCTGAAATAATAGAACATTATCCAAGTTGAATGTTAGGGCAATAATATTAAATAATGAGCTTGTAGTTAAGACAATGTACTAAACATATTAACAAATCAACCAAGAACACACTGCAACACTTTATTAATCCTTCGCCTTTGTTTACCTGTATAATTCCTCTGGAATGAGATGGACTTGGGAATGAACGGAGTGAAACACAGAGCAAAACCTTAAATCTTGTGCTTGAATGGGAAGAATGGACCCTTAGACACCGAGTGCAAGGTTATGCTTGTGTAAAATCATGCAAAGATAAGCTGTGTAATAATACAAATCGAAAAACTATTGCAGCACAGAAGAGGACAACACATCAAACAAACTCAACTCACGTATGATCCAGTCTGAGCCGGTGCTTGATCACAGACCACTGTGGTGAGAGGTGAATGCTAAACCACTCTGCGTCCCATGCCACTTTGGCTTTCTATATCTATCAAAGTTATCATCATCATAGCTTTTGTCATTGATAACAATAATCTTTCCAACTTATTTATAATTTCTAATCATTATTATCATTATTCTTGATACATCTGCTAATGGGTACACTTTCACAAGGTTTGGATGACAACATGAATGGCTGTCCCACCCCTTATAAACTAGAGACATTAAAAGTTGACCACATGTTTATCAGTTGAATTACAGTCAAGCGTCATACTCTATAAACAAAGTTAATTTTTATCATTAATAATTATTATGATTATCATCGTCATCATTATTATTAAGGAACAACCTCATAGTCAAGCAAGTTTCTATGTAAACCATGGATTATTTCAACAATTATTAACTATAAAAGCCTTCCAAGGATTTGTTCTTTAACATTGTTGTTAGGTTGCCAAGGGGTGCCTTTGGGTGGGAATCAAGGAGGAAGGGGAGGAAGACTCGGAGGAGACTGTTTTTGCTATATACGCATCAAGAGTTCTGTGCTACTGCTCTAAGCACATGCTCAAAGGGTCAACAAGTGGGACCATAGGTTGTAAAAATTCCTATATTTTGGTAGACTTGATTTGGAATTAGCTTTACACTACTTGCTCTTGAATACTTTATGAAAATTGTGCTTGATAAGAAAAATACAATTAAAATATAGCAATGTTTACAACCTGTGATGATGGAACCATGCTGGAACACTTGATACATGTATTACCCTCCCTAATTAATATTCAAAAACTTTCCTTTGTTTAACTCCTTTCCAGTCCCTGTCCCCTTCAGCATCACTATGTAACTGTTGAACATAAAACTTAACATGCAGCCTTTTAATTCAATGTCCTATTGCTGTGCAGTCCCAAGATCTGGGCCGTAGCCACCGGCACGGTACGTTGGTCCGGTTTCAACCGGACCAACTTTCGGGAAAAAAATATAATAAAAATAATAAAAATAATAAAAAAGTATAAGAAAAACTTAAAACCCTCAAAAACCGGACCAATCAGAAATTCGTGGCTACAGCCCTGAAGATGCACAAACAGTCTTATACCATTGCCTCCCTTTCATCGGCGCCTCCAGCACCCTTTTTCCATGTCTTGGCAATGCACAATTTGTCAGTTTGATTTAAAGGGCAGAATGAGAAGTTTAACTCCATTAAATTGTCTGTAGAATGGTTTCACAATAGCCCTAAAATATCGTTTGATATTGGTGAATTAATGTTTTAGGCTCATAGATTGATGTATTGCAGATGAGCTTGTCCTATGGGCATCCAGGAATAACTGGAGAAAACCACTATCAATGCCAGGGTTGCCACTGACGCTGAGATTGACAAGTGTCTGGCTATGGCTTACCAGCCTGTGGAGCAAATAGAAGATCCTGTCATTAAGAAACTGAAGATTGGCCAGTAGTTAGGATAACAAAGGCTACATGCGCCTTGTTGAGACCATCACGATCGTGATTCATTAGAGAAAATTTATAAATTTAAACATGTAACTAGATTGGTTATGTATGTGTGGGAACGTATGTTACTGATTTACAGCACATACACAGTACGACATGCCATAACAACATAAATTTTCTTTATCGTTTTCCACTCATATGAAGAACAACTCTTGTGTATGCCCTTTAGGTTGAAGCTATGAGGTTACCTGTAGCTATAGAACTAGAAAGCCCTTTTAATGTTCAGCACTCTAATTAGATGACATACCAGGAGAAAGGAAAGCCACTTAAGTGCTAAATTGGGAATCCACTTCAATGTTAACACACCTGCAGGTTTCAATCATTAAAACACCTCATTGAGTAATAAGAGGCACAGAAGAGATAGAAAGTCTTTTCAAGATTCGACAAAGTACCATCACACATGGAAGCCATTTCAAAGCTCTATCTCAGGAATCCATATCAGTAACATGACACATGGAANACACATGGAAGCCATTTCAAAGCTCTATCTCAGGAATCCATATCAGTAACATGACACATGGAAACCATTTCAATGCTCTATCTCAAGAATCCATATCAGTAACATGACACATGGAAACCATTTCAATGCTCTATCTCAGGAATCCATATCAGTAACATGACACATGGAAGCCATTTCAATGCTCTATCTCAGGAATCCATATTAGTAGCATGACACATGGAAGCCATTTCAATGCTCTACCTTAGATAATGAAGGTGATGATAATGATGATGACGATAATGATGATAATGACGATGATGATGGTGGTGATGATGGTGAATTAACAACAACATAATTACTTTGATGCTGATTGGTCAAATGGGGGAGGGGGGAACATGGTGAAGATGATGATGATTTTCATAATGATGATGATGATGCTGCTGCTGCTGCTGATGATAATAATGATGTTAATAATAATAGTCAAACAAATACCTGCTAAGAAGATCAGTAGCATCGTTCTCAATATAATTACAGCTAAGGTCCAGTGTTTGGAGAACATCTTTAAAACAATGCCTGTCTGTCAGAGGTTCCATGTCTCGGTTTCCCAAACAGCAATTGCTAAGATTTAGGTTTTGCAAAGCACAATCATCCTGTAATGGAAAGGAAATCAAAATTAAACTAATGGATAATGGGTGGTAAAAGAAAGAGAGAAATAAGAGTGTTAATGTTGAATAATGAGTGAAGGTGCAAAAGATATTGTATGAAGAAGAAAGTCTCAATGAAATTATTATATAGTTAGGATAGTACATGCATGCTGATTGGTCAAAAGGGAAAGGGGGGAGGAGGGAACATGCCTCTCTCCTGTGTCCTGTGCCAATAATAATTCCATAATTCTTGAGTATATAATCTTAGGATTGAATATCAGAGAAAAGATGAAATTCTGGTTTAAAAAATCTTTAAGTATTAATTCCCCTCTGGCAAACTTTGCTAAATCCCCACTCAAGCAGTGATCATCGTCTCGTAATCACTGATCACTCAACCAATTACTGCGCACTCAACTCAACCCTATATTCAAGTCTAAAATTATATGCTAATGATGATTAATGTCCCAGCTGTAGCTGAAGATCCTGAAGGAGGGAGGGGGGAGGGGGGAGGGGGAGGGGTCTTAATCCCATTTCCCATCCCTCATTTTAGACTAATTGTAAAGCAGAAAAAAAGTCCACCATATTATAGAGTGTGTGCAACCATGTGACTCAAAATCCCTTGAGATATGAATAACAATCAAACTGCCGCCATCTTGATTGATCTAACAAGAGAAGCTAATGAGGAATGTCTTGTGATCATCAATCAAGATGGTGGCTATGACGTAACATGCACACGCTCTACTTCATTTTTCTGGTATACAAAAAATTAATAAATAGTAAAAAAAATCTTAAAATAGCAGCAAATCTCATAATTAATTTCTTTAAAATTAAAATAAATAAAACTGGAATAAATGGAATTTTTAAAAAAACATTTCATAGGAAAGATAGAAAAAAAAGGTGCAAAGATGCACAAGTTAGGTTTACCTTGTCCATGTACTGAGCTAGACCATCTGTTGGCATAGCAACGTCACTCTTATTATACACTGTTGATGAGACATCCAAATGACAACAGATCATGATAAGGTGGTGACCCCATCAAGATGGGTTATAGAACCTTGTGTGAGGTATCAAGTGTATAGAGTGTGTGCAACTATGTGACTCAAAATCCCTTGAGATATAAATAACAATGAAACAGCCGCCATCTTGGTTGATCTAACAAGAGAAGCTAATGAGGAATGCTTTGTTATCGTCAACCAAGATGGCAGAGATGACGTAACCTGCACCTGCTCTATTTCATTTTTCTGGTATACAAAAAATTAATAAATAGTAAAGAAATCTTAAAATAGCAGCCAATCTCATAATTAATTTCTTTACAATTAAAATAAATAAAACTGGAATAAATGGAATTTAAAAAAAACATTTCATATGTGATTTTTTCTGAATCATTTATAGTCTTGGGTTTTGAATAAAAAATACTTATACCTCTTTAACCTTTCTGTGGTGTGCTGAAAATAGTTTTGAATGAAAATGTTTTCAATGAAATTATTGTAAATCATAAAGAAAACATTCATACAAAAACATTTGTGAAATAATCTTATTTGCAGGACTCAAAACAGCAGTTAAAAATGCAATACCAATTTCCTTATTGTAAGTAAGATAAAATAATGGTCACCTATGCTCATTTTTTTATGTGACTTGGAGTTGTGAAAGGCTTGTAAGGCACTCTTCTCCAGTCATTTCATCTAAGGCTTGTAATTTACCTATTACGTATGTTCTTATTTGATATCCGAGCACATCCCACACGGTATACTGCCTCATATAATCATATATGTCACCTATGATGTTGAGAATAATATTTTGAACAAAAATGTTCAGTCAAAATTCACTTGTCCTGCACAAACATTAATTTGTGTTATTTTGAGCCCTGCATGTTACCATTCCCTTAGCCGAACATTACTTTTCCTATTCCTTCTAATTATTATTTTTTGTTTATACTATGGAATCCACTGCAGTGTTGAAATGCAAGAAACAAAGCATGTCATTGTTTACACCCACAAACATTCACATCTTGTCTCAAAACATACAAATTGTTGGCTASAAATCGGAGCCTTCTTTAAGCCACGTTTCATAAAATCACAAAGGAAAAAGGTTAGAAATTTGCAATAAATATAAAGTATATATAAGGTATAAAATAGAAAGAATTCAAGCAAATTTAAAGTGCTAACTAGATAAATTCAAAGTTTTTTTCAAGTTGCACATGCCTTTAGGAATGCAGTGGAATATGCATTGATGTTTGTGGGTGCAGGGATCATGACAAGTTTTTCCAGCATTTCCACACTACGGTAGATTCAGTAGTACAAGGTATACTTTTCTCATACCCTAGGTAGTATTTTTTTAAATTCTGTTTTTAAAACTTAAATAATAAGTCTAGCATTTTTAAAACTAATTTCTGAAAAATGCTAGACTATTCTTGTTTTTTTAATTGCAGAATGATACTAGATTTTAATTTCTAAACCATGTTGTTCATATTGATACCCTTATCTGTGATGAATGATTCCTGTCATCAGCATCGTATTGATTGACTTGATCTTGATGGTGCTGCATCATCTCACAAAGGCTTTGCAGCACAACAGCTTGGTACGACTGAATACGACAGATTTGGTGAAGCTAGAAAATAAAAACAATAAAATTGTCAAAATCTTGTTGCTTGTTTTAGTTTCAAGTGCAGCAGTAAGAGCGCTCTCCTCTCATGATCACCAAGGCAAGGTTTGTTACTGGACTTGATCCACCTGACTGAAATGATGAATAAAACCTGGTTTTTAAAAGAATATGGAACCGTAATGGTAATCTTAAGTTAAAGCTTGAGATTTTTAGTTTAAAACTGATTCAGTGCAAAAATGATGAAACGATAGCTCAAAATAAAATGCTTTTTTGAAGGATGAATGAATCCAGAAAACACGAAATAAACCTTATCATAGTATTTGTATGGATTAGTGTAGTATGTAAGCATTTCTTACCGGATAAAGGATGGTATTTTTAGACACGTTTTTCTTCTTCTTCCGCCATCTTGTGTGTTTATGTTTTTGACAAAGCCCGCACAGCATCATGGGACACCACAGGGATACCATGCAGTAGAAAACACAACGAAAAACAAGAAATGGTTGTAGCCTACTTTAAGGAACCAAATTTATAGTGATTCCATCAGTCGATGTTTTCGCTCTTTTGTCGATTCTATATACCGCAACCCCACAAACTTACGGTTATTTCTTGTTTTTCGTTGTGTTTTCTACTGCATGGTATCCCTGTGGTGTCCCATGATGCTGTGCGGGTTTTGTCAAAAACATAAACACACAAGATGGCGGAAGAAGAAGAAAAACGTGGCTAAAAATACCATCCTTTATCCGGTAAGAAATGCTTACATACTACACTAATCCATACAAATACTAAGAAAAGGTTTATTTCGTGTTTTCTGGGTTCATTCGTCCTTCAAAAAAGCAATTTATTTTGAGCTATCGTTTCATCATTTTTGCACTGAATCAGTTTTAAACTTAAAATCTTGAGCTTTACTCAAGATTACCATTACGGTTCCATATTCTTTTAAAAAACAGGTTTTATTCATTATTTCAGGGAGGTGGGGGGAGATGGAACTGAATATAGTATTGCGTTGTCGTATTGACACCTTGATGTTTACATACTCATAGAAATCAATAGCCCAATATTAGACGTATAGTCCAATATATACAAGAAGGAATAGCCCAGTAAGACGAAATAGCCCAGTAATCCCAATAAGTACGTTTTAGAACTTACGAAACCATTAATACCAACCATATACCGTATATATTGTAGGATAAACACAGGTTTATAAAATATTCGAAAACCAGACATAATTCAGAACTACATATGTATCGGTGCAGCTGACCATTTTCCCCTTATAAACAATCTGTGACATCATAGTGACATACTGTACATAGTGTTTTAGTGACCACACACATCACATTCTTGGACCTTTGTACCCGATAAAGTCCTCTTCATTTTAGTATTCAACAAATTTTTATATAATGACTTGTGTCTTTATTCATAAAGAATACTATGAGGATGACTTTATCAGAAATAAAGCTACATTGAAGTTTATATGAAAACTTAAATTCTCATAAAGGCCACTGTCCTATACTGTTATGTAGTTATGGGTTTCCTGTGTTCCCCACCCCATAATCCCCTGCGTACCACACACTGCCTCATGGTATTTCAGGCCAAACTCTGTCATTGTAGTTTTGGTTGTTTATCTAAGTAATAAAGTCCACTTTTATACTCAAATACATCACATTTGGCGACAAGGATAACTGGTACAACTTCATCTACATTTAATTCAACACCATGCCTGAAAAGGAACATAGCACCAACGCCCCTCACGTCAAGCTATGGCCTTTGTCAAGCCGTGTTACTGTTGCGGTGTACAATACCTTCAGGTGAACTGTCCGTTTAAGAACCCTCAGTGTCATTTTTGTGGCAAAACAGGCCACATTGCAAAAGTTTGGAAATTCAAGGCAGTGAAACAGAAAGACACACCAGTCAACCAGCTGACTGAGGGCAAAGCTTCAGACGAAGTGACTGATGAGTACTCCATGTTTAATTTTTCTATTGGATATCACCGTTCTGAGTATAAAGTTAACCTCTCTATTGATGGCCATGACATTCCCATGGAAATCAACACCGGGTGTTCTGTCAGCCTGATTTCCAGTCTGTTGTGTCGTTCAGTATTGGCGAACGAAAGCTCAACACCTACCCCAGCCAAGCTCCGCACCTACAGAAGTGAGGAAATTCCTGTCCTGGGTTACATAGTCGTCGAGGTCCAGTACAACAAACAAGTTGAAAAACTACCTTCCCTCATGGGAAGAGATCAGGCTGGATTGGAACGCAATTTATCATGTAGGCACAGATGCTGATACCCAWCTGAAAGTACTCGATAAATACCAGGACCTCTGGAAAGACGACCTCGGTGAGATCACAGGCACCAAGGGCAAGATCTATGTCAAGGAAGGTTGTCAGCCAAAGTTTTTCAAGCCGCCCCCAGTCCCTTACTCAATGAAAGATAAAGTTGATGCTGACCTACAGCGCCTCCAATTTTTAGGCATAATACATGTAGAACCAGTGCAGTTATCAGAGTGGGCTGCACCAATCGTTCCTGTGCTGAAGCCAGTGATGGCAGTGTCTGGATTTGCGGAGATTACAAGTCAACAGTAAATCAAGTCAGAATAAACTACCAATACCCTCTTCCAAGAATTGAGGATATCTACGCAACACTTTCAGGCCGCAAAAAAATCACGAAGCTAGATTTGAGTCAAGCTTTCCTGCAAGTTGTCCTAAATGAGGATTCAAGGAAACTCACAACAATCAACACGCAAAGGGGTTTGTTCCAGTACACTCGTCTCCCATTTGGCATCTCGTCTTCGCCCTCATTTTTCCAGCGCATCATGGACAACATCGTTCAAGGACTGGACTCAACATGTGCCTGCCAAGATGATATTTTGGTCACTGGAAAGAATGACCAGTAACATCTGGCAAATCTTGTTCATCAAAGCTGTGCTTAAGAGATTGTCAAACTCTGGAGTTCACCTTAAAAGGGACAAATGTGTGTTTTTGGCCCCTGAAGTCACTTACCTTGGTTACAGGATCGACTCCAGCGGTCTCCACCCAGTCAAGGACAAGCTGGAGGCTATCACCAAGGCACCAAGGCACCAGCAGCAAGCAACGTGTCAGAGCTCAAGAGCTATATGGGCCTCTTGAACTACTACAGCAGGTTCCTCCCCAATCGGTCAACTGAGTTGGCCCCCCTTCATCAGTTGCTGAAGAAAAATGTCAGGTTCCAATGGAACAGACCACAACAACAAGCGTTTGAGAGATCCAAACAGTTGCTGATGGAGTCAGATCTTCTGGTTCACTTTGATCCCTCCTTATAGGAAAAGACATAGCTGTGAAACAGCCCTTTAATGTTAACAGAGCAATGGTGGAATGCCCTAGATAATGGAGAGAGTGTTGGTCTTTTGACAACAGACATGAGTAAAGCCTTTGACTGTTTGCAGCAACAACTATTACTTACTAAGTTGAAAATGTATGGTTTTGAGAGTGATAGCCTCAACTTGATGAGATCATACTTCACAGATCGCTACAACAGAGTGAGATTGGGGGATGCTGTCAGCTCCTGGAAGGAAGTAAAGAAAGGATGACAGTCCTCAAGGCTCCTCATTTGGGCCCCTATTATGGAACTTGTTTCAGAATGACTTGACTTACATTATGGACTCTAACATCTGTTTGTATGCAGATGATCATCAATTTTATGAAATCAATAAAAATGTTAACACTATTCAAGCTAACTTACAGGAATGCGCTCTTAAAGCAACTAATTGGTATGATTCAAATTTTCTTAGGGGTAACTTTAAGAAATATGGGACTATGTTGATGAGCAGAAATAAGAATGAGAACGAAATAGAAATAGTAGTTGATGGGACAAAGRTCGAATCCTATCATAACATCACCTTATTAGGTGTTAATATTGATAGAACGCTAAATTTTTCTGATCATATGAGTATTGTGTGTAAGGAAGCTAGCCAAAGAGTAGGGGTAATAAGAAGGTTAAGGAATCTGATACCCACTAGTGCTAAGTTGCAACTTTATAAAGCTGCTATTCTCCCACACTTAACATATTGTAGCACTGTGTGGAATTTTTGTAAGGCTAGCGATTCTAGAAAAGTTGAAAGGGTACAGGAGAGGGGTCTTAGGGCTATATATTGTGATAGCAATTCATCTTATGAGAAACTCCTGGAAAAGGCAAAATTACCTACTTTACAGAATAGGAGACTGCAAGACATAGCTGTTTTAATGTTTTTCAAAAGTCAAAAGGAGCTTGTGTCCAGAATATTTACTTCGATTATTTTCTAACAGCAATACTAATTACAATCTAAGGACTAAGGAGTTTATAATTCCTAGAGTTATGACCACAGCCTATGGCAAACACTCAGTCAGTTATCTGGGACCAGTACTCTGGTGCAAATTGGATAGAAAAAAAGGCAACAGCAAACCTTAGAAGCTTTCAAGAAAATAATTAGAAAACAAGATCTAACTATTAGTAAGTTAATCTCCATGAATGATTGCAAAAATTGCATCCTATTATATTATGTATTTATAGATATTTAGAGATATTTAGAGATTTTTTAGGTTTTAATCTAGTTAATTGTTTTTAAGTAGGTTAGGTGTCCTTACTTAGTGGGAAACTGCTATATATTTTTGACACATAAATAAAGTTTATTATTATTATTATTATTATTATCCTCTCCTGAGACGCAAGCCCATATTGCCTGGATGCTGTTATCTCACGTCATCGATGGAATTGAGCAGCCAATCAGTTGTACTTCACGCACACTATCACCAGATGAAAAACAGTATTCCCAACTTGAGAAAGAAGCATTGGCAATAGCTTGGGGAGTGAAAAAATTTCACTCTTACCTTTACGGTGGTCATTAAAATTTTCATCATTAACAATGATCACAAATCACTCGAAACACTCCTCAGTGAGTACAAAAGCCTTCCCACACTTGCCTCTGGAAGAGTGCTGCATTGGTCTCTAACACTTTAAGCCTATGACTATACCTTCAAGTATAGACCAGGAGCACAGTTAAACAATGCAGATGCTCTGAGTTGACTTCCTCTTGGCACGTCACCAGTCAACCTTCCTGTGCCAGCAGAGACCATACACCTCATGAACTTTCTAGACACAACACCAGTACGATCTAGTATGATTGCCACTCATACTAGAACTGACAAGGTTCTGTCTCAAGTAATGTCTTACCTTACGATGGGTTGGGCAAACCATGTCGAAGAAGATGATCTGAAGCCTTACTTTCTGTGAAGAAACGAGCTTAGTATAGAAAAGAAGTGTATTTTTCTGGGAAACCGTGTTGCCATCCCCCCCTCTCTCAGGTCACTTATCCTGGACATAATACATGACACACATGTGGGAATCGTCAAGATGAAAACTTATGCCTGCCAGTATGTTTTCTGGCCTCATCTTGACAAGGACATTGAACTTTTAGT